TTATTTAATATATAATATTTATAATTATGATACGCGTTTTGTTCAGATAAAAAATAATTTTGTTCAAAAAAAAGTACACTAGTGCTTTTTTTGTCTATTAAATTATTTTATTTATAACAATTATAATTTTATTAGAAAGCTTTTTTAAAAAACGAGCAAATATAGTTAACTAGTAGAAATTCCTCTTTAATTAGAATCATATAACGCTAATCGACTTACAAAGTCTTCATAAGTGATAATAAAGAAAACGCATTTCTGTAACCCCATCCAATGTCAACGGACTAACATAAATACATATTAAAATCGCTCTATGCTAACCTTATTATGCTAATCTATATGCTAATCTTATTTAATTATTCCTGCGTTAAGATCTCTCTCTGGATTTGACATTGAATAGGGTTACAGAAATATATTTTTTTTTATTATCACTGATGAAGATTTTGTAAGTCGAAACGTTTACACGAGTCTACTTTTCTATATTTATTCACACAGACTGAAATAATGTGTAGTAGAATGCACACAAAACGAAATTTGTTTAGTTGTAATAACTTTAATTCTAATTTTATTATATTTACTTTTGGCATGAAAATTGCTCTTTTATCGAAACAACGATCGACATAACTTATAGATTTATTGAAGCGCGTTCGAAACTTGAATTTTTGAGACATTGTAAAAATTATAATGTCATTCTAGCTCATTTAAATTACATTGATAACAAAAATTAAATCTACATCATTATAGATCCATTAGAAGATATGATAGAAATATGCAGATCTTAAAAAGGAAATTATTAATCATTGAGATTTTTGAGCTTTAGAGATATCAATTTTTTGCAGAAAAGAGTATGCTGTATCACTTGGAATTTAACAAATTCATTACCTGACTTTAACATCCTTAAACGTTATGATAATTCATTTCACAATTGCAAAATCAGATTATTCCTAAAACATAAAAAGAAAATTTCATTAGTTGATACATAAGAATAATTTTTATAATTCCAGGAAAATCAAACCAATACAATTTTCTTGTATTTTAAATAAATGAAGAAACAAACATAGTAAAATTTAGTCCATTTTAATGTTATTGAATCGAATGAGTCTCTTGTTAATATTAACATTGGATAAATTTAATGTTGATTCTGTAAATCCATTAGACTAGACAAACAAAAAATGGTTCATTAATTTAACTGGCAGAGATATCCCACCGATGGTCTCTGATTTATTACAAATGGATAGTAAATTTAGCCTTCCAGATCTCCTTCCAGACTCTCATAATAAGGCACGATAAAACAATTCCTTAAAGTTATATTATTGAAAGTTGTTCATTTCGAAATAAAATTGATTATCGAATCAAAATTAGGAATATAGCTACCTCAGAAAAATGTTGAAATTTTCATCGGTTTCTTCATAACAGTCCACAGTGAGGAATAAAAAATGAAAATTAACAAGATGGTTAAATGGTATAAAAATGATGTAAAAAGAATAATGATGTGATTTTCGCACGTGCTGACAAAGGCAATGTAACGGTGGCCATGGAATTGTCTTTTTACAATCAGAAAATGCATGAATTCTAATATTGAAAGTGAAAATATAATATTTAAAAACACGATTATATTTCCTTATATTAGAGCGATCACGAATAAGATACAATATAATAGACAAATCAAAAACGATAACAGGGTATCGATGTCTCTATAAACTAGACAAATTTATAAAGACATACAAAGATAAAATCAACATCTAGATAATAACAATATAATCTATAAAATTAACTGCAATGATTGTGATGTCTCTTATGTCGGACAAACAAAAAGACAGCTCCGAACTAAAGTTACCGAAAGAGCACTGTAATAATATAATTAGATCAATCTGAACACTCAGTAGTCACAAAACATATTATTAGCTCCAATCGTAGCTTTGACTGGGAAGATGTTGAAATTTTAGATTATAAGAAAAGAAACATTTCCGAAAATTTGTTTCATAATCCGAAATGATTTACATTTCAAAGGGGCAAAATAATGGTATAAATTTAATGAAAGATACTGAGTTATTAGATCTTATTTATCATATTGGACGGATATACGTGAGCATTAACTGTTAACATTTAGAACATACTTGTTTATTTCGTGACACATCGATATACTTTATGACTTATAATATTCAGTCCATTCCATATCATCTGGCAATCAACAGCATTCTATTGTACACGAGGACTCAGTTTGAAATTGATTCAATTGAGTATTCTATATAAATTAACGTAAGTGAAATATAAATTCTCATCAATACTAAATAAAATACATAATTTTTTAATTTGAAATTGACATTTAATTGTACAGAATAGTAGGATAGTCATTGAAAAGATCCTTATTCAGAATGACGTTTTATAAATTATTGACTAAGCTGATTCTCGATAACAACCGATGAATTAGTCTATTATAGTTTTACAATTAAGAACTTTCAAACTTCTGACTTGATATTTAGTTTAATCCATAAGATCTTAACGCAGAAATAACTAAATAATATTAGCATAAAGTGATAATTTTTAATATGTATTTATGTTCGTTGACATTGAATGGGATTACAGAAATGCGTTTTCTTTATTATCACTGATGAAGATTTTGTAAGTCGAAACGTTATGATTGTAATTAAAGAGTAATTTCTACTAGTTAACTATATTGCTCGTTTTTTAAAAAAGCCTTGACATTCTAATTTATAGCGTTGCATTTACACGAGCCTACTTTTCTATAATTATAATTTTCTATAATTATAATTATAATTTTATCTTATATAAATTTATAAATATAAATTTTGAGAAAAGCTACTTTAATGACTACTTCAACTATGTTATTTAGCAAATTTATAATAATGTTTAACATTACATATTATAATAAAAGTCATTAATTTTATTCAAAAGAATATCCGATAATAATAGCGCTTGATTTAGAGTTGAGATATTATCGTAACCAGGTATTCGTTTAATAATGTAAATGTTAATGATGAGAATTTTTCCACAATATATTATACAAGTAAAAAGAATTACAAAAACATATTATAATCAATTATTTCTTTTATAAGTGAAAGGAAATAATACCAAACTGATTTTTTTCTGCAAAATATTAAATCAGTTTTTTAACAAAAATGAAGGAAAATGCGAATTATTACGTATTTAATAATAATGGTTTCATAATGAATCAATATGAAATTTACATGTATAATAAATCACAATGTATAAATCATTTTAATTTTCCATAACTAATTTTAAATTAATTATACAAGTTAAATCATCAAGCTTATTTTGCAATTATTAATATACAAGAAAAGAAGATTTTCTACATGGACAAATTAATTTTAATGAAATATCTAAAAATTTTGTAAAATATAAATTTGAAAATAATTTGTTGGACTCAAAATAATTATGTAGAATTCTCAATTTGCTAGAAGTTAAAATGTTAATATTTTATGTAACATTATTCATCACACTTGAGTTTCCTATATAATAATAATTTTAATGGCCCAATAAAATTATATTTTTTCAAATCTGTATCTATAAGCTAAATTTTTAAAAACTCATCAAAATCATTCTTTCCGTGGTTAAAAATAAATAATTTTCTTTTTAAACATAATCAGTTTGAAATTTGAATGCTAATGAGTAGAGAAGTTAGAAAAGAAATTCAGATACCTACCGGAGAAAGTAGGCTTGTAGTACCAATCATTAATCTTATAACATATTCACTAATCATATTGAGATGCCTCCTATGTCAAGTAGACAGGATTTTAAAAACAAGAATCTCGGAACATTATAATGATATCCGAAGGAAGGTCATCATTCTGTTATTATCAAACGATTGGATCTAAACCATGATTTTGATTGGGAAAGCACAGAAATTGTTGATCAGGAGCGTTTTTGTACAAACGTTTCGGAAATGCTATATTTAGTTGCAAAAAAATAAATCTTAATTTACAATCTGACACCGAATTTTTACATCACCCATACATCTCGATTCTCAATAATTTATACTGATTTAAACTGCGCGCCATTTTTGTTGTTATTATTTTTAAATAAGTCTGACATATGTTGATAATATTATCCGTTTTACTTATTAGTTTGTACACTATGTATTATCTTTGACTCATTTGAATGTTGATCATATAACAATATTCGGAATGGTTGTAGTGAAATATAGTGAATCGCTAAATATGAATAATTTGCAAATCTCTTTCGACTTTGATTTTTAATTCACGTCTTTCATAGTTATATAGGGTAAATGCATATTAATTTTTCTTTATAATAAATAATTGATAACATTTTTGATATCTGCACAGATTTTTCTGTGATTATTCGTTGCCATTAGAATTGTCAACCATTGCCAATAAGGAGATTGAATTGCTACTCTATCGTCTCACCATGAAGAAATGAGAATTTTACAACGTACATACATCAGATATACTGATGATAATCCGGAAGTAGGCCGAAACGTTTGTTTATGCACAATCAAT